GCATTGTTTTTTGTTGCATTGAGATTTAATTTCTTTTGATAGTATTTTTGAATACTATGCGTCTCTATACATAATTTAAATCACTTTTCCTGTTAAGTTTGTGTACTTACATACATTAAAATACGATTTTTCAAGTGTACGAATATTTATTTCCCCCCACTGTAATACAAATTATAGCAGACAAATATATTTCATTGTTAGCAGAATAGCAACACTAAATAAGAATCTATATTATTTCTATCTACAAATTCAATAAAGGGGAAAAGGGACATTTATTGAAAAAAGTTTATGATGTCAGCATGAAAAGTTCAGTCATCATTAAAGTCATAACATAAAAAAAGAAAGTCAGTGCATTACAGAATAAACTCAAAGTCAATATATTTTGTTAACAGTAAACTTTTAACTTGCATGAATTACATATTTGCTGAATTTTTCAAATAATTTATGCAGATCATTTGGGTACAGCTAATTACTTGTAAAGTTGTAATATGAATTTATATATACTCACCTGAGAATCTTCAGCTTTTAGATTCTTAATATACTTATTTACATAGCTTAGAATTATAGGAGTGATATAGGACTCAATTCGCAACATTGTATTAGATTATATTCTAGGCTTAACATTTTCTGAAACAAGAAAAGGAATAAAATAAATTAATAGCTTATTCTTGTGGTGTACTTTACTGTATACTAAAGACTGCAGTGTGTACAAAAATTTGCCCAAATCAAAAATAAAGTCAGAGCCTGAGTGTTCAATTATTGCAGGTCCAGTCCAGCCAGCTACTCTCAGCAACCACTCAACTTGAACAGGCAAGCCACAGCACATTCGATTGAACAAGGTTGCAATCCAGAATCCACATAATTTACAGTGGCTCCCAAGTTCAGCCTAAAGTTTCCCTTATCTGAAGCCTGTACTTCCCCTGACCACCAGAGAGCCCAGTATTTCAAGAATTTGGACTTCAACAAACAAAACCACTCCTCAAAGACTGTCAGCCACTTCACTCTCATGGATGTTGCTTTTGCCACACACCCTGCACTGAGGCTGCACATCACTACTCTATCAAACCCTTTGGTTTGCATTAGTTTCTGAATTTGAACTACGATTGAATGGTAGGACCCACCAGAGCCAGACAAGGAAGAAAGATCCTCACTTTGAACCTCACTGCTTTGATGCAGTGCTACTCATGAATCAGTGAGGATCAGAACTAGCTTAATCTGCAGAGCAACATCAGAGGTGGCAAGCTGCATAGCCTTGTATAGCATGAAACGGGGTTAGAAGGGACAATTTTGGGCATTTTTTGTCAAAAACATCTTACCATGAAAAATTTCATAAACAAGTTTGAGCTCATTTTAAAGGTCTTTGTGAAGCCTAATGTATGGCATCTCCGAAAAATTTCATACGCTACCTATTTGTAAGGTTCAAGATGCAGAAGAAAAGCGCCCCAAATTACTTCTGGAAACAAGGCAATTTGGGAGACTTGAAATAAAACTTAATTTTTATTTTTTAATACTTTTGAAGCATGCTGAGTGTACTTGTCCATTTATAAAAAGTGTTAGATTGTCACTGCATACTCATGATGCTGCATATCCAATCACTCCAGTCTCCAGGTTCACATGAAGGACCTCAAGCCACAAGGAGGGATGGGCATGGGAGATTGTGCAGCATCACAGTGAAGAGTGTTTTGTAAGGTTCCAGACGCAGAAGAAAAGTGTCCCAAATTACCCCTGGAAACAAGGCAATTTGGGAGACTTGAAATAAAACTTAATTTTAAAACTTTTGAAGCATGCTGAGTGAACTTGTCCATTTATAAAAAGTGTTATATTGTCAGCATATCCAATCACTCCAGTCTCCAGGTTCACATCACATGAAGGGCCTCAAGCCTCATGGAAGGGTGGGCATGGCCTAATGGGATTGGGAGAATGGAGATTGTGCAGCATCACACTCACAGTGAAGAGAGTAGATGACAGAACTGTGAGAACAGCATCTTGTTATACCAGAATACCAGATACTCCAAGTCTCCAACTCTCACCTGCTTTGAGACTGAGTTTGAAACTGATAACTGATTTACTAACCTCAGGCCCAAGTTTTCAATGGTCTTGGGTCTCTCTGCCTGTACTTTGACAGTTCTATTTTGTAAGTATCTAAATCTAATTGTAATTCACCCACTCCAATAGATCGCATTATTGACTTCATGCCATTGCTATTTGTGAGCATTTGACACTTGCTAGCAGCTAGCCTATACCTGTCCTGACAGACTGACAGATGTGGTGACTGGTGATGGTGGCGGCGGGTTGTAGCCTAACCTTGTAGGTGAAAAAGAAGTCACAACCGACCTGACAGCTCACAGATGTTTGTTATTGTTTACGTAGGCAAACTTCGTATTCAATTTTACTTCAAAAGCATCAGAGGATGAATAGATTAGCAACGTCGCTTGAGATAATCTAAGACAAAGTTCTTAAATTCTATGCATATAATTCTTCATAACTTACATGATTTTTGTTTATTTTTTTAAATAATCCAAATAATGGTTCAATATAACTGTGATAGTTTTCTCATAAAAATGTCTTACGATGCCACTTCTAACTTTGATAACTTCCTGTAACGCCTTCTGTTCGATTATCTATACAATACCGTTGATAAATTGTTCAAAATTATTATTGAGCCGAGAATAAAGTGTCCTGGGTCTAGCAAAGGAGGTGGAGGGCGGGAGAAACAACAACGGTAGACACCATGTCGCCGATTTCACGACTCAGTGTGGCTGCACCACGCCCAAGAGAATGAGTGTTTAGAGTCAGGCATGTCGGCACGGCCGATTCCTTCACTCCAGTCTAACTAAAACGCGTTAACTAATGATTCCGTAATGAAATTGATACATTCTCAAAAATAGTAAAGCTTGTAGCTTCATCTCTCTCCAGTCACAAATTTCAAGTGAGATCCCATTCAGCTTCATTTATGCGGTTACAAGTAATGATTTTCCGAACACGATAGAGGTCATTCCTTGGTAAATCGTGAGCAGGTGGTTCACGGAAAGTGCAGATATTATTGATCTAAAATAGAACTCGTACCGGTAGCATACTTGCGAATAGTGTAGCAATATGTTCGTAAAGTTTCAGAAAAATATTATAATGCAGTGTCAAAACTCGTGCACCATAAAATGGGTGTTCACATGTGGATCGTTTTGCGACATGATTGTGATGCATTCATTTAGTGTGAAATCATCATAACAAAATATTGTTTATTGTAATATCTACATGTATTCACAAGGCCAATTCTCGATGATTGACCGTAAAATGTATTGTGATAGTGGTATATAGGCCGAATGGATGTTTGGTCTCGTACAATCAATTCAGAACTTAAACGTGGCAATATGTCATTATAATGCTTGATTGTGTATATTGAAGCAACTTTACCGAACAGCTAATATGTTAATGCGATGTTCAAGATGCTTAGATTCAACATGATATTTAATTGCTCTCCCTTGCTCATTGACGTTGTTGAATCTCCAATTACCGAGCGCTAGCAGCGATATTAGCGGCCCAGTGCACGTCGCTACTTTGCTTTGCTTTGATGTCTAATTGGGTCGAGCCTTAATTCTCTTAATTGAGCCAATCACTAAGAACGTTTAGTTATGCGCCTTTATTTGAATAGAAGTATGCATTAATGTTATTATTACTCAATGCTTTGAGTGGAGCAATTTGTACAGTTGCTTCACTCACGGTTGCGAACACTAAAAATATGACATTGTTGTGGTTTATAAACCTTGTACTGTTCTTAACAAGCAGTATAGTCTCTTTTAGAATCATCCTTGTAATTTTTACCGTGAAATAGACTTTAAGCAAGTTACCTTCGACCTGCTTTCCGCCCGCCGCTTCCTAAAAAATATGAAGGAGTTGACATAAAAAATTCGTTTATTGGCCTAAAATAAAAGTAAGTACGAAGATAAAATGTTACAAAGCTCCTCAATGCTGCAACTATGATTCATGCATTAATTGATTCATGCATTGCCTCTGACTTCACACAAGTGTGCAAAATTTCAGATCAATTAGACAGGCAAAAGTGTGTCAAATATCATTTATAAGATTTGGAGCTGACAAAATTATTTTTTCAATTTTTTTAATATGAAAAAAAAAATTTTAATTTTTAAAATAATTTATTTTGATATTTGATTCATGCATTGTCTCCAACTTTACACAAGTGTGCAAAATTTCAGATCGATAGGATAAGTAGAAGTGTATTAAATTTCGATTACAAGATTTGTAGGAGACAGACAGACAGACAGACAAACAAACAGACAAGAAGTGAAGTTAAAGAGAAGTGAAGTTAAAGAGAAGTGTTGTAATAAAAATAGCGCGTTATTTTGGTCTGCTGAATTTGCTTAGGCTTCAAGTATAACAAACAGATGATCTGGACTGAATGACCAATTTTCTATTGTGCAGCGGTAGTGAAATGAAGCAACTTTATGAGTAGATAGGATACGTTGGTACACTCTTACTACAATTACGCAGCAGAAATAGCTTTACATATTAGAATAGGAGAAGAGTTTTTCGTAATTGGTGTAATATAATTAATATTACACCAATTTATGATCTAAAAAATCTAAATATTTATGATCTAAAAATACGAATTAACAATTGATCTACCGGCTATAAACAGTCATATTATTCTTCAGTTGAATTGTGCGAGTGCTCGAAGTTAGGGCACAAAGTGCCCTTTTATTGAGAGTTGTTCCGTAGCGCTTACGTCCCACGTCATGGGAGGAGAGAAGGACCTAGAGACGAACAGCCTGCCTCAGCAGGAGGACAGCATCCGCGTCATCTGCCGCTTCAGGCCTCTCAACAAGTCAGAGGAGGCCGCTGGCAGCAAGTACATCGCAACCTTCCCCTCCAAGAAGGGACAGGACGACCCTACCGTCAGTCTTGGCGTGAGTTGATCCAACTTGTTGATGATCGAGTGCTCGTGTCAGGTCCTATAATAAATTGTGTCAGTTCAGGTAAAGAAAACTACTTATGACTATGACTACGACTACTTGCATAAGTAGTCTTCTTTGTGACTTAAAGAAGACTACTTATGCATGAGATGTGCCTAGTAATTGTGATGTTTGTATCGTACAGCGCGGCAGAGCTTTGGTTAGTTCGTGATGTTAAAATTTCTTTGTCTATGGTAATTTCTTTGGTCTGTAATGCCTAAATTTTGGTGCTTGATGGGTGCAGGAGGTGTACATAACTATTTTCAATTCTTCATCTGTTCTGTAAAAAAAGCATTAAACTGAAATCTTCGAGTCCAAATGATCAATATTTTGAATGTTTTTTTTACCGTAAAAGTCGACACCTCAAATCAGAAGTTTAGAATGACATCGCTCGCAACTCAGCGTAGTGCACCTCTTAGGCCAGGTAGTATGGGCGGTGTTCGTCTTGTTGGTGTTTTGGTAAGCAGCTCGAGGGCCTGCAAGACAGCCGCTGGTCTGGCGCCCCTAGTATTGATTCTAACCGCTGCTGCTGCTGCCACCACGCAGGTGCTGCTCTTCTTCTTGCTCTTGGACCGACCTTGCTCGGGTTTTGGCAGTATCTCCTAGCGCATTTAAGCAGCGGGACTCATTGTTTTGTTTCTTCGGTCAAACTGCGAGTCACATGATCTTGGTTTTCTACGGTAAACAGAGTCGCGCTTTCCTGTTTTCTGCGGTAAACATGAACACTGACTGTATTGTGGGTTTAACATTAATGTCAATATTCTCTTACGTTAGCAGGAAGTCAACCTTAATTTTCGTATAAATAAGCAGGGCACCTTCCTGTTTTCTGAGTTCTTCCTCGTTCATGTAAAGAGAAATATATATGATCCCATTACATTATTTCATTTGATACTAACACTCATTTTGCCCCTCGTCTATATGGCGCTTGTCACCTGGTTTCCATGTTCCCTTATATCACTTCGATTTGTGTTTAGCTCTAAATGATTCTATAATTCATATACGTATTCCGTTCATCCTTACTGAATACCTTTAATTGTAAACGCACCAGCGGGTAAAATCTACGTCACAGATTAACACGGTTGAGTGCGGTACGACACACAGGTATGAAATACGACCTGCATACGACATAGTTGCACTTAACGTGTTAAAATTGCGATATTTTGGCATGATTAAACTTGTCAAACGCTATAGACATCGTGAAGCCTAGAATCGCCATCTAGGGACACTTGAAACATGTCGGACACTGCATAACGTGAAGCTTAGAATCACCATATCGGTACACGTGAAACACGTCGGACACTGCATAACGTGAAGCTTAGAATCACCATATCGGGACACAACGAAATATTACGATATAAACGGATATGCTGTCATTAAGACGTGATTATATAATATACAGTAACTATTGACGATGACTTGATATCTCGACGTTTGTTAAGGACCTGATCATCATGCGATTAAATGACCCATAACGTGGACTTGACATCTCGCTAATTAATGTCGTAATCTGTTAACGATGCTGGGATTCTGGGCGAAGACCTAATGCCGTTTAGGGAGACCGTAATAGTCTTATTATGCAGCGGCCTATGCAGTGGCCTTCCATGAAGATTCGATATCTCGTTTATGAAGGCCGTTATCATTATGCGACACGATGACTCTTGAAGAAGACTTGATATAGCGTTGATGAGGGGCGTGATCGTTCACATCGCTAGCATCGCAAACCTCGCGCATCCGTTGCAGGCGTCACGGCTATCGAGCGCCGCTCCCATGACTCAGCCTTTGGACTTCCATCACGCCTGTTCCGTCTTATGGAATGTCACGCTGAATCTCAGACAGAGCTGCATGTTTATGGAATGAATTTTATTGTGGTAAACTGATTTGGGGACTTTTACCTAATTCTATTGTCACTATTAGTCCATCCTTTTTTTGGATGAAAAGTTTGAAATATACGTAAAAATACTGCATGTTCTTAAATTATGTGAAGAAGCTTTCGTATGGATTTCCAGAAAAATGTGTTCATATTCCTCCTCGAGAAGTTAGTTTTGACGTTTTCATGGCTTGAGATTCCGTGACAATAACGTTCCTTCGAGGCATTGTCATTACACTTCGTATCTTATAAGCTCACATAATTATGCTATGAGCCGCGACTGCAGTCGATAAAATGCAATGCGTAATTAAGTTCAGCGATAAATCTGCACATGGTAGCTGAAGAGAGTAGCTCAATCACTGTATTGGTTAGTGGGCGACTAATAGTTCAATCTCTTATTTCCAATTGGATGATTTGCCTCTATCAGAAGTTAGTTTGGATGTACATACATACCCTAAAAACAATTTGGGGCAGGCCTGAATCTGCCACAAGCCCCTCCAGGCCTCAGTGAACGCGTAATTCAGAAGCTCTCATCCCTGCGAAACTGGCATGAAACGCTGTCCTTAGGCTACTTGCAAGTTGCAAATTCATTATTACTCAGCCATTCGTCATACTTCTAGGATTATTTGACGTCCTCGAAAGCCAAAAACGGTATTTTAACCCGTCTCTAATTTCGAAAGCGTTTTCAAGTTAACACAGAATAACTCTGAAGCGAGTGTTGCGACTCCTGCGCAGAAGACTTGGCGCTGCCCTATTTTTGTCAGGGTAACAGATTAGCCCAAAGCCAAAATTTTATTTGAACATGACGTTCACACATAAGATTTTTAAACGTCCATACCTAGTTGTTTTTCCTGGTACTTCCGTAATGCGACATAGTTGAATAATTATTGTAACAGCTGACCTACTATCATAACTCGTTGAAGTACGCCTAGCGGCCGATTACTCGTCAGTGATTGGTGGGTTCAGCTTGAAAAGCCGTCAGTAATTAGCAAACATAATTGCATTTTATGAATATTTTTATTATTGCGGTCTCAGGCTACAGATATTTTGTTGGTACAGACTCAATGATGAGCGCTATGCAAGAAAGTCTGAAACGTTGTCGTAATGCAAGAAACGTTTTCAGGAAGGCTCAGCCGTCGTACTGGATCGAATTGCTCTATTAGAAAAAATCTTTTTAAAGCCCGATTTAGAACGATTTGACATATAGCTTACAATTTGTATTCAATCGCCATAAATATTCTATAGTATAGACCTAAATATTGTATTTGTTCATTTGAAAATGTGTGCAGATTCTTGGGATGTGACGACGAACTTATGAGCTGACTTCTGGAATAGAACACTTAACAGTACGCATTGATTGCAAGTAACTCACTCTCAATCATATTTCATTTACAGTGCATTGTCAATGGACGTGCAGCGAAGTCTTTTTATTTGATGCTGTTCAGGTAAGCAAATAAAAGTTATTTTAGCAATCAAGCATTCTCGACGCATTACGTTCAGTCCCATTCACATAGATGCTTCATCACTGTTTATTGTGCACTCAAGTCATGTTTCCGTGCTTGCAGTCAAAAAGTTGAAGCTCCCGTTACCACCCTCCTTACAAGTCGCATATTTATTTTTATATTCTATTCTCACTTCACTCTGATGACATATTTAGTTAGTATCAGTATCTCATTAGTATATATTTCATTATTTCCAATACCTTGAGACGTACTCGCTTTTTGAAGCTTAATGCCGTGTAATTCAGGATGTACCCGTTCAGACTTACGAAACCTAAATATCACAAAGAGGATGGTAACTTTGAATTTTTTTCTTGGTAACTAGGTTGGTAACTTTGAATTCTTTAGAAAAGCTGGCGCCGACAACTTATTTTGAAGGTTCTTTGTGGATAACATCTTCATGCATATTAAATGATACACACATAAAAATATGCTGGTTTTATAAAAGAATAGGAAGATTGGCCCTAAAATGACGAGAAGAATATGATTTAAGCCTTGATCGCACATGACTCAATTTTTGCACAACATGCAGATTTTATTTAAACTGTAAATGAAAGAATTAATTTGCACAATTTATTATTTCTTGATGAATGTTGTGCCATGTCTCGCTCATCGATATTTGCATCATCCTTATTTTGGTTGCATCATCCTTATATGTCAAGTGAACATTTAATCCACTTTCATTTTGTAGCAAGTTCATATGAAAATTCTACACAACGCAAAAGTTAGCAAAAATCTGTATTTACTTTGGAGGAATAAAGCCCCTTGAAAATATTTCCTTCCAAATCATGTATTTTTATTTTATTTTGTGATCTGTTGCATCATTGTCACTGTCAGTGAGACATAACGCTTTCTATTAAATTTATAGTCGTACACATTAGCGTACCTTATGAATGATATGCATCGATCTTGAACATTGTATTATGTATACTCGTCTTTCTAAAGCGTTAAAACCACTTGTTTATTTAATCGCACATTAACCATTAATTTAAAAGCAAAAATGCGTTCATCGACAATAAAATGCTTAAAAAATGAAGTAATCGAGTTTATTTTTTTCGCCGTTTGAAGGCGAGAACGTGACAAAGGAGAATGGCGGTGCACGGAAAAAATTTTACCGGAGCTAGGAGAGAAGCAAAACTTATGCGTACACGCTCAGGTATACGCGTGTAGAGTAGCAGGCGTACACGCTCAGGTATACGCGTGTAGAGTTTGATGAATGTTGTGCCATGTCTCGCTCATCGATATTTGCATCATCCTTATTTTGGTTGCATCATCCTTATATGTCAAGTGAACATTTAATCCACGTTCATTTTTGATCAAGTTCATATGAAAATTCTACACGACGCAAAAGTTTAGCATAAATCTGTATTTACTTTGGAGGAAAAAGCCCTTTGAAAATATTTCTTTCCAATTCAAGTAATTTTTTAATTTTGTTATCTGTTGTATCACTGTCACAGTCAGTATAAAGACATAACGCTTTTTCTTAAATTTATAGTCGTGCAACGTCAGCGTACGTTGTGAATGATATGCATCTATCTAAAACATTGTATTATGTATACTCCTCTTTTCAAAGTGTTAAAACTACTTGTTCGCTTTAATCGCACATTAACCATGAATTTAAAAGCAAAGACAATACCACAAAAATTCACCTATAAGAGAAAACGTTTCAATCCAGCTCCATTGTAAGTGGAGCTGGACTTCTAAACGTTTTCTCTTATGGAGAAATGGTGAATTTTTGTGGTATTAATTGTCTTTGTTTTTATATTCCTGGTTTCTAAAGTGTGTCTTAGCATTTTTTCCATTGCTCCAATTTTAATTCTATTTAATGCTATTGCAATTTAATCCTTGGTTTGAAATGCCGTATGATGACATAGATGTATCCAAAATTTATGAAAAATTAATGGAGAATGAAGGTAAAACTTATGGAAGAAGCTTCATAAAATGTATGTATGTATGAAAATGCACTGGAATGGTCAAGAATGTGCGTAAAATTTAGGAATCGTCCTAATTTCTGACCATTTAATTAATGTTGATCATATCTGCTGCAGGTATGCACAGGTACTGTACGAGCCTTCGGGTAGTTCAGAACTCGGACATTATTAAATATCATCTGAATATCACCCATGTTTTAATAACAATTCCTACTAAAATCCCTAGCAGAATCGACGGAAATGCGTTCA